CAACGATGAAAAATCGATTGCCGGTTCTACTGGCGACGGCGTGGGTCACGGTACGCGGTTCGTCCGGCCGCACCGCCGTCGTCAGAGCGTTACTCGATCAAGGCTCCGAGATGACGTTCATCTCGGAGAACTTGGCGCAAATTTTGCGAGTCAAACGCATTCGCATGCCGATCTCTATTTCCGCCGTCGGCGGAGTTCACGCCGGGACATTCCAACACGCCGCGAGCATCTTCGTCTCTCCGCGCGCGTCTCTCGTCTCTGCGCTCGCGACCACCGCTCTCATTCTCAAGTCGGTAATTTCATATATTCCGAAACGAAACACGGATATCTCGTCGCTCTCTTATCTCTCCGATTTACCACTCGCGGACACGGATCCGACGAGTCGCGATCCCATAAGTATCATTATTGGAGCAGATCTCTATAATGAGATCATTCTCGATGGCATTCGCAAGGGAGAAATCGGGCAGCCTGTCGCGCAGAATTCCGTGTTCGGATGGGTCATCTCAGGACCCGTAAATACGTCCCCGCATAATGATTCAGCGGAATTTCCTCGAATCTCGACTCATCATATCTGTACCCTCTCGCTCGAAGAGGAACTTCGCCGATTCTGGGAGATCGAGAAACTTCCGCGACAAGCCGTTCTCACGCCTCAAGAAAAAGAATGCGAGGAGCATTTTCGCTCGACTCATTCTCGTAATTCCGAGGGACGCTATATAGTGCGTCTCCCGTTCAAAAGGGGCCCTCCTATCGATATCGGAAGTTCTGCATGTCAGGCCGAAAAATTGTTAAAGTCGCTAACTCGCCGACTTCGCGATAAACCGGAATTCGCGAAGGAATACTCGGATTTTCTTGACAAGTATGAACGCCTTGGGCATATGCGACCCGCGTCGACGCTTCAAGAGGACGAACAAAGCGTCTATCTTCCGCACCACGGGGTGATTCGTGAAGATAGCACGACCACGCGTCTCCGTGTCGTGATCAACGCGTCTAGCGTCATCTCAAACGGCACCTCTCTTAACGATCATCTGCATGTCGGGCCGAAGAAGCAAACCGATATCTCGGCGATAATCGCGCGTTGGCGAAGATACCGATACGTCTATTCGGCCGATATAGCAAAAATGTATCGCCAAATTCTCGTTGATCTTCGCGATGTAAATTATCAACGGATTCTATGGAGACGGTCTCCTCTCGACGCGATAATTGTTTTCATCTTGCTGACTGTTACCTATGGTCAGGCCTGCGCGCTCTTTTTTGTCCTTGCCGTTCTGGAACAGTTAGTACGCGACGAAGGTAAACATTTTCCCCTCGCAATTCCGATTCTTCTCGAACACGTTTACGTTGACGATGCCGTCTTCGGAGCTGACGACAAAAATTTCATTCGGCTAATGCGGGATCAATTAATCGCCTTACTAAAATGCGGCGGGTTCGAATTGAAAAAATGGGCTAGTAATTCTCCCTCTCTACTTGAGGATATCGATGTCGTGGATCACGGCTTGGCTGGTAAAAAGCCCTTCGCTCAAGACGAACAACTCAAAATTCTCGGAATCGGGTGGAACCCAGCAAAAGACATTTTTGAGTATCGCGTTGCGCTCGCGGATACCGTCCCTACAACTAAACGCACCATTCTTTCCGCTATTGCTAAGCTTTACGACCCGTTGGGCTGGGCTACTCCGGTGACAATCGCCGCGAAAGTTTTCATGCAGCATCTCTGGCAAATTAAGGTCCAATGGGACGATACGATTTCAAAATCGACTTTCGCAAGATGGAAGGAAATCTATTCCCGGCTTTCATATCTTAGCCATCTGCAAATTCCTCGGTGGATCGGCCTTGGGCCAGATATCGATCACGCGGAAATACACGGTTTCGCTGACGCGTCAAATCATGCGTATGCCGCCGTTGTTTACCTAAAAGTCGTGTCTTCATCGGGCCAAGTCACGATCACGCTACTCGTCGCCAAATCGAAGGTCGCTCCTCTGAAAACAATTAGCATACCTCGGCTGGAATTATGTGCGGCCTTACTTCTCGCGCGACTTATTTGCTTCATTCGAAAGCTGAACGGTTATAACGACCTTCCGTATATTTGTTGGACGGACGCTGAAATTGTTCGTGCTTGGTTAGCTCAGGATCCATCTCGATGGAAGACGTTTGTCGCCAATCGCGTTACTCAAATTCACGCTCTCCTTCCGAACGCCTCATGGCGACATGTGCCCACGGTCGATAATCCTGCGGATTGCGCGTCGCGCGGTATATTCGGAGACGAAATTCTCGATCATCCGTTATGGTGGCACGGTCCTCCCTGGCTTCATCTCACCGCGAACGAATGGCCAACTAGCGACATGCGTCTTCCCTCGAACGCTCAAGAGGAGAGAACCATCGCCTTGCAATGCCATCAATCTTTCGAC